TCTCAGGCGGGAGCGGGGGTCCTCACTAAATTGCGAGGAAGTCTCAGGCGGGAGCGCCGTTCCTGAGTCAATTGCGCGGAAATGTCAGGCAGGAGCGGGGGTCCTGAGTAAAATTCGAAGAAGTCTCAGGCGGGAGCGCCGTTCCCACGTAAATTGCACGGAAGTCTTAGGCGGGAGCGGGGGTCTTGATTACATTGCGAAGAAGTCTCAGACGGGAGCGCCTTTCCTGATTAAATTGCGCGGAAGTCTCAGGCGGGAGCGGGGGTCCTGAGTAAAAATCGAGGAAGTCTCAAGCGGGAGCCGTTGTTGTTGTAGCCCGGGGGGCAAGGGCACAGTTTGAGCAGGAAGACTTTCCTTAAGAAAAAACAAGGTGCGAGCCCCGGGGGTGGCACTTCAATCGAAAAAAATCAATGTGCACCGGTGGGGGGGGATCAACAATAATTACTGTTCAAGAATGAGAGTTCAACGGAAAGGCGTGCACTCTGGCCCTGGTCAGTGCCGGAGCCTCCAGCGCACTCCGCCGGTGGACGGGCGCACACTTCAGCCCCGTGGGTCTGTTGGTGTGAGACGCTGTGTGACGACGACTTCTCCGGCCCTGCGCGAAGCCATCTGCGGCGGCTTCGCGCCGCGGTGGGCAAACGTACACTCCGGCCCCGTATGCCCCGTCATCTGTGCTGTTCCCTCCACAGAAAACGCTCCCGTGCGCTACCCGCTTCTCCGGCCCCATGTGCAGCTAAGACACCCTCAGGGACCCTCACGACGACGACGACGACGACGACGACGACGACGACAACAACGACGACGACGACGACGACGACGACGACGGGGATCCTGAGGAGTCCTCAAGAGCCCTGAGGAGTCCTGAAGTGTCCTTATGAATCCTTGGGGCCCTGAAGAATTCTAAGATAGCCCAAGGAGCCTTGAGCAGGCCCGCAAGATTCTGAGCAACCCTTGCGAGATCCTGAATAATGCTTGGGGAATCCAAAAGATTTCTGTGAGGCCCTGAGGAATCCTGGGTTCTGGGGAGGAATCCTGAAGAATCCTGATGGTCCTGACGAATCCTGACGAATCCTGAGGAGTCCTGATGAGTCCAGCCAGAGGAAGCCCAGGGGATCCTGAAGAGTCCTTGTGTGTCTTGAGGATTCCTGTGCAATTCTGAAGAACGCTAAGGGGTCATGAGAAGTCCTGAAGGGTTGAGGGGTGCCCTGAGGGGATCCTGAGAAATCCTGTGGGATCGTAAAGAGCCTTCAGGCATCCTGGAGAACCTCTGAGGAGGATCCTGAGGCATCACTGTGACCCTGAGGAGGAAGCCATCGGACTCTTTGGAGGGGGGGTCCTGGTGAACCCTGAGGAGTCCTTGGGGGTCCTGAGGAATCCTGACGTGTCCTGAGGAGTCATTGGGGGTCCTGAAAAATTCTAAGATATCCTGAGGAATCCTGAGCAGCCCCTCGGGATCCTCGGAAACTCTGGGGAGATCCTGAAGAACTCTTGGGGGTCCCACGGGTTCCTTTGGGATCCTGGGGAATCGTGGGGACTCGAAAGGAATCCGGAGGAATGTTGAAGGGTCCAGAGGAATCCGAACGAATCCTGAGGAGTCCTGATCAGAGCCCACAGGAAGCCTGGGGGATCCTGAGGAATCCGTGTGGGTCCTGGAGAATCCTGGGGGATCCTGAAGAATGCGAAGGAGTCCTGGGAAATCCTGAGGGGCACCCCGAAGGGATCCTGAAGAATCCTCGGGGCTCCTTCAGGCATCCTGAGGAACCTTGGGGGATCCTGAGGAATCATCGTGGATCCTGAGGGGGAATCCGTAAAACTTGTTTGAAGGGGGTGTCCTCGGGAATCCTGAGGAGCCCTGAGGTGTCCTTAGGAATCCTGACGAATCCAAAGGAATCCTGATGAGCCCAGAAGAAGCCTAGGAGATCCTGAGGAATCCTAGCATGTCCCGAGGATTCCTGAAGAGCCCAGCGGAATCCTGAGAAACCCGACGGAGATCCTGAAGAACCCCTTGGAGTCCCAAGGGTTCCTGTGGAATCCTGAGGAACCCTGGGGCCTAGGGAGGAATCCTGAGGAATCCTGAGGGATCCTGAAGAATCCAGACGACCCCTGAGGAGTCCTGATGAATCCAGAGGAAGCCTTGGGGATCCTGACGAATCCTGTGGAATCCTGAAGAAAGCTAAGGAGTCCTGAGGGATCCTGAGGGTCACCCAGAGGGGATACTGAGGAATCCTCGGGAAACCTGGTGAGGCGCTCAGCATCCTGAGGAATCTTGGGGGATCCTGAAGAATCGTTGTGGATCCTGAAGAAGAACCCATCGGACTCATTTGGAGGGGGGGTCCTGGGGAGTCCTGAGGAGTCCTGAGGTGTCCTGCGGAATCCTTGGGGATCCTGAAGAATTGGAAGATATCCTGAAGAACCCTGAAGAGCCCAACGGAATCCTGAGAATCCCATGGGGAAATCCAGAAGAATCCTTGGGGATCCCCTGGATTCCTGAGGGATCTTGAGGAATCCTCGGGGTTCGGGAGAAGTCCTGAGGAATCCTTGAAGAATCCTGACGACTCCGAAGGAATCCTGTTGAGTCCAAAAGAAGCCTGGGGGATCCTGAGGAAGCCTTGTGGGTCCTGAGGAATCCTTGGAAATCCTGAAGAATCCTCAGGAATCCTGAGGGGTGCCCTGAGGGGATCCTGAGGAACCATGGGGAATCCTGAAGAGTCAGTAGGCGTCCTGAGGGGACGTGGTGGATCCTGAGGAATCCTGAAGTGTTCTGAGGAATCCTTGGGGATCCTGAAAAAATCGAAGATCTCCTCGAGAATCCTGAGGAGCCCAAAGGAATCCTGAGAACCCCGTTGGGAGATCCTGACGAATCATTTGGGATCCCAGAGATTCCTGGGGGATCCTGAGGAATCCCGGGGACTCCGGAAGGAGCCCGAGAAATCCTGGAGGATCCGCAGGACTCCTCGGGAGTCCCGCTGAATGACTCCTGAGGAATCCCGAGGAATCCTGAGGGGGTCCTAAGGAATCCTTGGAGATCCCAGGGAGTCAGGGGTCCACAGGAATCCAGAAGAATCCTGAAGGAATCGCGGAAATTCTAAGGAAACCTTGTTGGAAACGCGCCAGGAATGCCGACCCTTTCTCCGACCCCGTGGGGCACCTTGCGCTGCCGCCCCAGTGCCAACCCCTTCTCCGGCCCCGTGGCGCAAGCCCTCGGTTGCTGGAGCCTTGCTTACCTTAAGGATAAGCACTTGAGTTTTGCGAGAAGAAAAATCTAAACAACAAGCCGGGGCCGGTGTCAACGCCAAACCGAAGAACATCAACAACAACAACAACAACAACAACAACAACAACAATCATTTTACCCGAACGCGTGGTGTTCTCCCCAGTGCCAGGGTTTTCATACGACACCAGGCAATACCCCCACTTCGTGGGGGGGCATTACAAGCTCTACCAAATATCCAAACGACTCTTCGCGACCACCCAAACCCAGCTTCCCGCCCTATGACGTTGGGACACTTCACTTCGTGGCGTGCGGACGACCGTGGCTACTACACTGGCGTGGGGTACACACCCACAGAACTTGGTCACTTATTCGGGGCGCGCATGTGCCCAGCATGGTGCAATTGTGCCATGCTGGGCACATGCGCGGATGGTATTATTTGACAGGGATGATGGCCCTGGCAGGTGCGCAACCGTTGTCGCAGAAGTTCGAAAAAGTTGCTCGCAAAAGCCCGTTTGACAGAAATGTTTAAAAAGTGTTGGTTTTCCTACGAATCCGCAAGAGCGCGCGGGATGAGATTTTGACATTTTTTTGTTGAAAAACCATTGGTTTTTTGATGTTTTTATGTTAAAATCGCTCCGAACACTAAGCTTTTGGAAGGATTTCGTCTTGCGCGCGCGAATGTCCACTTTACCTTATTTTTTGCAAGGGATTCTTGAAATTTGATTATATTAGAACAAGAAATGTCATTTTATAGTGTTTTTTGCAAGGGAAAGCGGGGGGGAACAAAACAACCGGATCTTGATCACATCGAATTACCTGAGGCTTCCTCACGAAAATGATGAAAATGTAGCTGCGGCCTAGGCGGCGCAGGGGGGCCGTGCACCAGGGGTCCCAACAATAATTATTCTTTAGAATTAATAATGTTCAACAACAACAACAACAACAACAACAGCAACAACAACAACAGCAACAACAACAACAACAACAACAATGACGACGACAACGACGACAACAACAACCACAACCACACCCATCGCATCAACATCAACAACAAACAGCAGCAACAACAACTGCAGCAGCAATAACAACAACAACAACAACAACAACAACAACAACAGCAACAACACCACCACCACCACCACAACCAACAACAACATCAACAACAACAACAACAACAACGACAACCTGATTGACTACAACAACAGCAACAACAACAAACAACAACAACAAACGAGCAAAGCAACCAGCCAACCAACCAACCAACCAACAAACAACCCCCCAAACAACAGCAACAAAAACAAACACAAGCGAAAGTAGCACCCGTTTTCTGTTATGGCTATCTACCACTCAAGATATATATGAATACATACATACATACATGCATGCATGCATACATACATACACACATACATACATACATGCATACATGCATACATGCATACATGCATACATGCATACATGCATACATGCATACATACATGTGCAAACACAACTATGTGTATATATATATATACACACACGTATAGAAGCGCAGAGCGGAACGTGCTCGTGGCTGGCGGCGCCGACCTGGCCAAGGCTGCCCTGCCCTGCCCCGGGCTGCGCCCCTCCCCTGGCCGCGCCCCCTCCGCCCTCCCCCTCCTCTCCTCCGCCCTCTACTCTGCCCTCGGCTCTCCCCCTGGCCGCCCCCCCTCCCCTGCCGCGCGCCTCGCCCGCCCCTCCCTGCCCACTTCCCTCCGCCTCCGCACCCCGCCCTCCGCTGCCTCTCTCCGCGGCCGGCAGGGCCCTCCTACGGGGCCCATGGCGTGGAAGTCGGTGTCCCGCAGGCCAGAGTCGAAGATGGCGTCCAGCGTGAGGAGCAGGGGAGCTGGGCACGGGCAGCAGCCGGGGAGGCGACACACGACAGACCGGCCCTGCATCTCGGAAGTGGGGTTAAGGTCGGGCATGTCCCCCTGCAGGGGGATCTGGGAGGACAAATTGAAGCGAAGATAGTCCAAAAAATACTCGAACATAGTATTGAAAAAATATTCGAAACATCGTCCCCTGACTATATTTAACAATTTTTGAACATTCCCTCTGTAGAGGGACGGGCACGACTTAAAAGTGGGGCGGCCAGGAGGAAATATATATATATATATGTATATAAATTACCTGGTGCACCAGCTCTGCGCAGTGCTTCTTCTGCGCAGCGGCCCCATCGCAGGAAATTATCCGAAGCCCTTGCCAGGAAAAAGGCTTCGAGTAAGACGGGAGAGCTGGGTGCGGGCAGAAGCGGGGGAGGCGAGAGCCCAATGTCTGGCCCGCTGCGCCACCCATCGCGGTCCTGCCCCCGAGCGCGCGACCCGACCGCGCTGCCCTCTCGCCGAGGACCAGCAGCAACGAACGCCACGGGCCAACCGCCCGGCCGACTCCAGAAACCGCGGATCCAAAAATGTTGCCACGCCTGGTGGGGGCAACTTCCGCTTCCAGCATCCTCTGCCAGCCTTCCGCCTTCCGCCGGCGGAGCCGCCCTCGGTGTTTGCTTCCGCCGCCTTCCGCCGAAAGACGAGCAAGTGTATAGATGCCTCGAAGGCGAAGCCATCTCCGAAGCGCTCAACACGACGACGCCCGCGGGCCGGCTTTGCGGTCGGCCGACCAGCCATGCTGCCAGGAAGAGAGATCGATAGCACGACCAGCGGTCGCGCGGTGACCGTGGCTGGCAACCCCGCTCTGCCGGCACTGCACGGCAAGATGCGAGAGATGCCTGTGCTGCTGCCTGCGCTGACGCCCGTGCCTCTCCCGCCACCCCACGCACATCACGGGCTCGTACTCATGCTCACGCTTGTGCGTCTGATCCTAGTCACGCTCACACTTGCGCGTGTTCATGAAAGCACATGAGCCTGTGACTATCTGCAACCGCGCTGTGCCGCGTAGACTTTCTGGACCCTTCGTGCTCTTACGTCTGCTCCTTCGCAGAATAATCAAACGGCGCCCACCCCCACCCCAGAGAAAGAGAGATCCGCAACCGCACCATCTGGCGCGCTGAGGCGTGGTAGAAGGTGAGCGTTTTTTGTTATTCGGCGTTTCGACATTGGGCGGAAGGGGGGGGGAGGGGAGGGTCTGGCTCCAGGCCTCTGCTTAGTGCGACTGTTTGCAAGAGTGCTGCCTCTGGGGGAGACTCCACCCGCTCGAAACAGGCTCCAAAAAAAAGCCAAGATCTACTCCATGAGGGGGGAAGGGGGGGAGGGGGCCCGCGCCGATCGGCAAAACAACAAATCAAAAAACGATGACATAGCCGAACATTGTCTCAAGACTCCTCTAGGAGCCCGAGCAACAGAAAACAACACGGGGCCTCCAAGAGGCCTCAAGACACTCCCAAAACACTCCCCAGGCGGCGCTCGGAAGGTCAAAATCATCAACGGCCCTATGGTTTTTCCATGCTGTGCGCTTTCCACGTACGTCGGTCGAAGACCGGTCCCATTGCGGTGTTCGAGGACATGGCCCACGCAGAGCCTTAAGAGGGCCACTAGACGGCGCAGGACAGCCCCAAGAGAGCCCCAAGCTAGCCCAAGAGGGCCAGAGAGGGCTCCTAGACGGCCCCAAGACGGACCCAAGATGGCGCCAATACGGCCCCAAGAGACCTGCCAGACGGACCAGTAGGCCGCAAGACGGCCAAAACGAGTCCCAAGGCCACAACACGACCCAAGAGGGCCCTGAGACGGCCCAAGAAAGCCCCAAGGGACACCCACGTCTGACCCACAGGAGCCCAAGACCGTCCCAAGGCAACCCAGATGAGCTCCATGAGAACTTCTCCAGAGGAGACGAGAGATGTCACATGAGACAGCCTTCTGGACGGTATTCAAGGTGTCGCGACTCAGGGTGCTGCGCTGGCTCTGTGGCGAGACTTGCCGCAGACGCTTGAATGATTGAGGCTGGCGCGCCCGAAATGGGCACGGAGGAATGGGTACGATGCCCAACAGCAAATGATGTCCTAAACGGACAGCGGCCGCTGTTGGGCAGGCGATTTTCTGTCTCAAACGGACAACGCCAGCAGCTACGCCGACAGCGAGTCCTGTTCAAAGTGAACAGAAACTGCTTTCCACCTTCGCCACCATACTTCCAGTACCCACGTCAATCATACCAGTATGATGACCCTCTGAGACAATTCAGATTCAGAAGGCAGCACACTGATAGGGAAACAAACTCTAAACACCAACGCGTTCTCCGGCCCTGCACTGACACTTGCACGGGAAAGCGGATCATGGTGTATACGGGATCCTGACGTACACATTTTTCGTTGCTTCCCCAGGAAGCGGGTACTAAAAAGTACATATGCACCACACCACTCCGACGTCGCCTCCGACCCTCAGAAAGTCCGGCGATTGAAAAACAGCACGCCACTGGTAATGCACATGCTCCAGATTCCGAGCTGAGGGCCAGCTGCTCCAACAAACAACGCTCGCAGCGGGGCCCATCCCCTGGACTTGCCGGCTCCTGGCCCGCCCAGCGCGCACGGACCCCGAGAGACGGCCGGAGGCCTCCAGGGCGCCAACTGCACATCGGCACCGGTCCTCGACCCAGCACCAGGGCGGCCGGGATGGGTGCGGGCGTATGCCTGGTGCCCTCTCAGGACGACGATCGGCGGCGAGCGAGGGGAGGAAGTGAGAAGGAGAAGTCCACTTCAGAAGGAGGCGGGGCTTCTCAGAAGCCTTCGTGCCTTCTGAAAAGTCTTCTGCGTCTGACTTCCGAGCCTTCTGAGAAGGCCCGCACCTTCTCACTCCCCCCCCTCGCTCGCCGCCGAGATGAGAGAACAACACACACACACAATCAAAACGCAAGGAGCTGAGAAGCAGCGGGAAGGAGCAAGGAGATGAAGGCGCTGTAGGTATGGACGCGGGTTGTCGGACCCCGAGGCGGGGCTCCCGTTCGAGCGGTGACCCGCTTTCGACAGCACATACCCACAGCCCCCTACTGGATTCCACCCCGAGTAATCTGGGGGTCACATAGGCATACGTGCCAGATGCCAACGCCCGACGGGAGGGGGAGGAGCTCTCCTGGGAAGTGCTTGAAGCGGTGCTTCCTCGGCTTGTGAGACTCGTAAAAGAGCAGCGCGTTCTCTGGCGGCCTCGTGGGCATCTTGCTCCTGTGAAACCTGGCGCTGCGCGCGGCCGTGAGGGGCGCGGGCAGAGAACTTAGACTCAGGTCGGGAATGTCCCCCGACATGCGGATTTTGAACGAAAAGTGAAAAATTGACCCCCCACCCCCACCCAAAAAAAAATCAAAAATTGTTAAAAATACTCGGGAAATCGTCCTCGGACTATTTTTTGACTGTTTTTGACTTTTCCTCCTGTAGGGGAACGTGCCCGACCTTAAACGTAGAGCGACGGATGCCTGGGGAGCGTCGGGCCCGGACCCCTGATAATGGCACTCCTCCGGTGCGCGGCACCAGGTAAGACGAAGCCAAGACGAAGATAAATTCGGACGAGCATGAATCAGGAATCTCGGAGATCCGGCGGTTCTGCAAGATACATCGGGCGCCGCGGCCTTCTCAGAGCGTTCTGGAACGCCCTGAGAGCGCTCGGGAACGCTCTGGAACGGATGTATCCTCGTCCCAGCCCCGCCCGACAAGAGCTCCCGACCCCCTTCCTCGGAGACGGCGTTCTCGCCTCTGGGTCGTCTCTCTGATGGCCCTTGGGTCCCAGAAGGGCCCCCCAAGAGCAAGCAGCTTGCGAAAGCCCTCCACCCTTGATCTGTTCCAGACGTCGGAGGTCCAGCGAGGGACTCGGAAGAGATAGAGAGAGAGAGAGACATAGCGAGACGGAAAGAGGAAGAGTGAGAGAGAGAGAGAGTCAGTCAGACAGTCAGTCCGACAGACGGACACGGGGGAGGGCCCGCCTGCCCCACATGCCGTCAGGCTGCGGAGCTGAGGCTTCCCGGTGCAGTGAGGCGCTTGGAGACATTAGAATATCGCATGGAACTGAACCTTGGAACCTTGCAAACAAAAAAGCTCGGACACTCATGTGTATATATAAATACATACGGACGCGCATACAAACATACATACGTACATGCATACATACACTCATTCATTCATTCATTCATTCATACATACATACATACATACATACATACATACATACATACATGCGTACGTACATACATACATACATACATACATTGCATGCATGCATGCATGCATACATACATACATACATGCATGCATGCATGCATACATACATACATACATACATAATACTATTCATATACACATACATACATACATACACACATTCACACATGCATACGAACATACATGCATACATACATACGTACAGGCATACATGTATGCATGCATGCATACATGTATGGCATGTATGGCATGTTTGTGTATGTATGTATATGTATGTATGTGTGCATGATGCGTGTGTATAGTATGTGTGTCTGGGTGCGCAAGTGTGTATGAATGCACGCATGTACGTGTGTACGTATGTATGTATGTGTTTACACGTGTATGTATGTATACATGCATGCATGCATGGTTATATGACTGTATGTGTACGCACGTATGTATGTATGCATGAATGCATATGCATATGCATATGCATATATGTGTGTGTCTGTATGTGTGTATGTTTGTGTGTATGTATGTATGCATGTATGTGTGTGTGTACGGAAGTACGTACGTACACATATATGTGTACGCATGCGAATGTATGCATGCATGTTGTATATCAACGGGTAGGTAGGTAAGTACGTAGGTATGCATGCACATATGTATGTGTGTATGTATGTATGTGTGTACATGAGTGTGTGTATGCGTGTATGTACGCATGTATGTATGTATGGATGAACGTATGTATATGCATGTATGTGTGTATGCATAGATGTGTGTGTGTGCATGGATGCATGTACTAATGTATGTATGTATATGTATGTATGTACGTATGTGTGTATGTGTGTAGGTATGAATGCATGCATGTATGTATGTATGTATGTATGTATGTATGTATGTATGTGTGAATGTGTGTGTGCATGTATGCATGCATACACCTATGTATGTATGTATGTATGTATGTATGTATGTATGCATGCATGCATGTATGTATGTATGGATGTGTGTATGTGTGCATGTGCAAGTGCATATATAGACATATGCATGTATTCTACACTTCCCATTCGGTACAGAAAGAACTCAGTCCCCTCCCCGATGTGTATTCCCCAAGCCTCCCAGTGCAACCGTGGCTTTCAAAAAAAACGCCCATATCGAAGATAGATACAGCGGGGCCAAGCTCGGCGGCGGCGGTCGATCGGGGGAGTGCAAGTCGTTTCGAAAACGACTCCCGCGTTTGCAAAATGCGGCCCGCGCGCAAACGTGAACTTTGAAATCGGGGGCTCGGGGGTTGGCGTCGCTCCCTCTGCTGATTTCACTGGATGGACGTGCTTGTTCAAAAACGCCCGCTAATGCCGAGGCAGGACCCCATACGAAGATCTGGCAATGATGGGAAGAAGGAGCAGGAGTCGCAGCAGGAACGAGCTGAAGGTTCGGGGTGGCCTCGGAGTGAAGCGGGGTCCCCCGCCAGAAGGGCTGATCTCGGCTCCGGCTCGCGCCGTGGTGCGGGCGGGCGACGCGAGGCTGCGCGATGTCCTCGCACAGCAAGCCACGTCGCAGCCAAGATGCCCTCTGCACCCCCGCTGCCTCCCCAGATCTGGACTGGCCACAGACTGGCTGGCCAAGGGCCTGGCCCGCTGATCGTGACGTCACGACTCGCGAGCCGCGGCACCTCTGCTGAAGAGGAGGCGATGACAACCGTGGAGCATTCTCTGCCACCCTCTCGCGGCGTGGTGGTGGTGGGGTGGTGACTGCATAAGAGAAACAAGCCCCGAGCAGAACAACACGCACCACGACCACGACGACGCCGACAACGACGACGGAGACGAGGCGCACGACGCGTTGTCGTCGTCGTCGTCCCTCTCGAGGCGCACGAAGAATGCGCTGAAGTCTGGCGGCTGGAAGAGAACACCAAGGCGGGGTAGGGGAAGCAGGGGCCGAACTGCCCCACTGATCACCTGGATGCTTCGACCGCCTTCAAGCCGGCCCCTGGAACGACGCGTACTGCGACTTGACCCACATCGAGCGCGCAACGATCATAGTGCGGGCCACGATGAACAAGAAATGGTCCGACCCAAGGCCAGTCTCTTGGGAGGTGTCCCCGTAAGCGTAGGTAACTACCAGTATCATGATCAACGTGTACCTCTGGAAGGTCCACTAGCCATCCGCCTGGTCCTCCTGCTGCTCCGTCCCCTCAGACTCCTGCCTCCCGCGCCCTCCTCCTCCTCCTCCTCCTCCTCACTCCCTCCCTCCCTCCCTTCCTCCCTCACTCCCTCCTTCCCTCCCTCCTCCCCCCTCCCTCCTCCCTCCTCCCTCCTCCCTCATCCCCCCCTCTTCAATAGGCCCTGTCTCCCAAAGCTGTGTGCCAATATTTCCGCTGCCTGCCCACGCTCCGTGCCACGTGTGCGGTCGAGCGCGCGCACGCTCAGACGCGGCCCCTGTGCACGTCGAGAGCCACCATGCCGAACAGCTGCTTGACATTAAGACGACGCCAACTATACACCCACACTGACCCTGGCCAGCCCCACTCTGGACCCAGGATCGGTGTGTACGCCCTCGTGGTTTGGCCAGGAACGTACATATACACCGATCGTGAGCCCAGGATCGGTGTGCGTGTATCGGTCGGTCAGACATGTCGTAGTAGTAGTAGTAGTAGTAGTAGTAGTAGTAGTAGTAGTAGTAGTAGTAGTAGTAGTAGTAGTAGTAGTAGTAGTAGTAGTAGTAGTAGTAGTAGTAGTAGTAGTAGTAGTAGTAGTAGTAGTAGTAGTAGTAGTAGTAGTATAGTAGTAGTAGTAGTAGTAGTAGTAGTAGTATAGTAGTAGGTAGTAGTAGTAGTAGTAGTAGTAGTAGTAGTAGTAGTAGTAGTAGTAGTAGTAGTAGTAGTAGTAGTAGTAGTAGTAGTAGTAGTCAGTAGTAGTAGTAGTAGTAGTAGTAGCAGTAGTAGTAGTAGTCAGTAGTAGTAGTAGTAGTAGTAGTAGTAGTAGTAGTAGTAGTAGTAGTAGTAGTAGTAGTAGTAGTAGTAGTAGTAGTAGTAGTAGTAGTAGTAGTAGTAGTAGTAGTAGTAGTAGTAGTAGTAGTAGTAGTAGTAGTAGTAGTAGTAGTAGTAGTAGTAGTAGTAGTAGTAGTAGTAGTAGTAGTAGTAGTAGTAGTAGTAGTAGTAGTAGTAGTAGTAGTAGTAGTAGTAGTAGTAGTAGTAGTAGT